GAAACAATGACGAATTGCCTTAATTACTTGGTGTCCCATACAGGTTGTATTTGGAATCCTCAATCCCTTAAGAGCAGAGTCAGAAAAGCAGACCAAAATGTTTCTGCAGATGCTTTGTGGCATAGTGGAAATAACAGTGGAATGAGAAGCAAGAGAACTTGGTTTTAAACTTCCTTAACTAATTTCCTCTGTGACTTTCAGGAAAATTTTTCTGGGCTCTTATAAATATTAAGTTACGTGTGCTGTGTATTTATGCTGGGAAAATTCATTTTACAAGCTGTTGTGATGTACAGTGATTGAATGTATAAGACAAACTAATTAATAAAAAAATAGTAAGTTACATGACAAGATTATTGTAAAGCAGTGGTTAGGAAATTTTTTAAAAAAGGTCAGAGTAAATATTTTAGGTTTTATAAGTGGTCTACTCAACTATTCCACAATTGCAGCCATATACAATATGAAAACCTTTAAATGGGATGGTCATGTTCCAATGAAACTTTATATACAGAAGCAGATGGCAGGCAAAATTGGCCCACAGGCTTTAGTTTGATAATCTTTGGAATGAAGTCCTAACCAGCTGACTCAACATTGAACAGTTCAAGGGTGGAACTGGTGAAGTACGGGTGTTGCCCTATGAACCAAATTTCTGTGAGAAGACTGTGAGAGTCTTCTCTTCTGGCATGTCAAAGAGGCTGTGAGGCTGGAGGAATGGGTATGAGAACAATATCTACTTGAATCTCCACCTCCTGGAGGAAGCTGATTTAATGAGAATCAGAGTGCTGAATAGAGAAAGACAAGTGTACAACTTAGATGAGTCATAAGTTATCTGGTGACAGTGAGTCTGACTAGATAATTAATGACTATGTGGGAATTTGTGAGGGTACTTACATGTGGGAAAATTTGAAAGTATGTATGTGTGAAGTGTCATAGCTATCTGTGTGAACTATATAAATCTTCAACAAATTTTGTGACGTGTGGTTTAGCTGTGGTATCATATGCTGGTGCCGGTAGACACTGTTATTTAGCAGGCTGAGACCACATGGGGGGTTTGATTTTCCACTCATCTTAAAAAGGTAGGTAGCTGGGTAAGGTGCATAAGGCTGTAGTTCCAGCTACTCAGTTGGTTGAGGCAGAAAGATAAGGACATTTTAAAACCCTGCTTCAAACAGCAGCAACGACAACTATAATAAAACAAAATATAAATTGTGATGTGTGAGTGAATATGTGTGCTGGTATGAATGAATATGTATAAAAATATGCATCTGAATGGAAGCTGTGTGTGTGTGAGTGTGTCTGTGTAGAATTTTAGCTGGTGGAGCTATAATTGAACTCAAGTAGATCTGACCCAAAAGCCCATATCATGTTTCCTATATTACATTGACTTTCATATGACATAAATAGAATTGGAAGAGAGTGGGGTGGCTGTTCGATAAAGGTGGGTTATGTCATCTATGTAGCAAAAGGGAGGTTAAAAATATGAATGGATGTTTAGACCCTAGATAGCCTTGACTTCAAATATTGGGTTAGCTACTAACAAGTTGTTTTACTTTGGAAAAAAAAAAAAAAAACACTGACAAAGACAAGATACTAAGATTGGCAAGAGAAAAACATCAAGTTACCTACAAAAGACATCCCATCAGGCTAACAGCAGATCTCTCATCGGAAACAATGCGGGCGCAGAAAGAATGGGAAAATATATTCAAAGTGTTAAGAGAAAAACAATTTCAGCCAAGAATACTGTACCTGGCAAGATTATCTTTCATGTGGGAAAAAAAGACAAGAACATTCTCAGATAAACAAAACCTGAAAGAATTTATCAGCACCAGACCAAATCTCTAAGAAGTTCTCAAGGGTGTGCTATATCAGGAAAATTAAATACAGACACATGGAAAGAAGAGTTCAAAAACTAAGAAAGTGGCCAGCTTAACCATAGGGACAAGTCTGGAGTTGAATATCATATCCCAGAATTTAATAGGAAAAATGGAACCAGAACAGAAAATAAAGTACATGAGACTGATAGGTTCATGCACCTACCATTTGAACAGAATCCTAACCTGTTTCCTGGCTTTAAGAAAAGTTCCTTAGCATTTCTATGATTTAAGTTAAAACTGGTTTTCTTAATAGTACCATATGAACTTACCATTGAAAGTAGTTAGATTATTTAAGAAATTGTGTGATCAATACAATGTGGGTGGGAAAAGAATGGAAGGCAATTGTAGACCCAGAGACAGTAAATCAAGTTAAAAAAAAAGAGAAAAGTTTCAGAAAAAAGAAAAATCCATTCGATGACCACAGTAAGATATATAGCCCCAGCTAGGTACTACTTTATAGGATGCCTAAAGTTAGACTTGTGTTCATGGAAATGTATATATCAGCTGTGTTTGCTATGAAAATATTTAGATTAATTAAGATCTTTAGTAATTCAATAAAAAATGGGGGGGGGAAACAGTATAGAAAGTAAACATAGATACCAGAGATAATGTGGGAAGAGAGTGGGAGATGGCTGAGGGTAAGGATAGGGAATCAAGGATGGGGGAAAAAAAAGCAAAACATACAGGAAACAAGAAATGGAAAATTATTTGTTGACAATAACATGTATGTTGATGTGCTTGATTGAGACAATATACAGTGTACTCTGGATGGAAAATCTCATTTTGTATGCTGTAATGATGTACAGGGAATGAATGTAAACAAATTTAAATAAGACATTTAAAAAAAAAAGAAAAATTACTTACCTGACTGTCAGTTTCTTCATGTATAAAGTAGTGATGATTTTAATTTCATGGGTTTCGTGTTAGGATTAGAAGTAATAAATATATCCAACACTCAGTAGGTATTTAACAGTTGTATTACAAAGTTAAGAAGTATCCATAACATAAATTGGAGACTATGAATAAAAAATATTTTAGAGAAGGAAGCTTTAGAGACAAGTTGGGGTTATAAATAAAAGGTCAATTGGTGATGATTAAGAGAGATAAGAGGGCAGATAAAGAGAGAACACATACGCCCTTTTGTGAAACTGAGGTGAAGGGGAGTTGAGACATCTGAACATCTGAACACATTTACACAGGAAAGAGAAAGAACCAGTAGAGGAAGAGGTTGAAATTACTAGAAAGTGATGGATTACTGGGGAGAAGTACCTAAAGAGAGGACTGGGGTGAGTACATGGATGTAGGGTTTAACCTGGAACAGGAGGAAGAAGGAGAAACAATTTGAATAAAAATTTGTAGGAGACAACGTGAAGGTGAGATTGAGGCAATTAACAAGAGATAACTGTTTTTCTCTTTGAACTAGGAGTTAGGAATCACATTAGCTGATAAATGGGAGCAAGGTTGAGCAGGGCAGTCACAAAGTGATCAGAGTGTGGGGCAGGGAGCCCGTTCCAGCTGTGCCATTTGCTGGCCAGACGACCTCGGGCAGGGTTGGGTCTACTTAAACTTTTAGATTCTATTGGCTCCCCCTATCAGTAAGAGAGGGGTAATGGCTACAGTCCCATCAGACTGTGGTGACTGAGCTAGTGCACATAAAGCCCTCAGCACTGCAGCCCTCTAAACCTATTCTTGCCTTCCCCCCCCCCTTCTCTTCTCCACATTTTTTTTTTTTAAGAGAGATTTTTGCTGTAAGACCATGTGCTCGCTGGAGAGACAGAAAGTGAGAAATCACCCCCCAGGGGGATGGCCATGCTGCAATCCCTTCTCTATTCTCCTCTTGGTATCTTGGGCATGCATGCACATATATTCGCTGTAAGTTTTAAGTCACCGGGTCTGGAACTTGAACCATAGTCAACTACGTCGGAGGCCAGTGACCTAAGAGCTACTTAAAATGCAAATCTTACCATGCCGTTCTTTCACTACAAATACTTCAGTGGTTCTTACTATTTCCACGTAAGTTCTAAAGTCCTAAGAGTAGTACCAAAGCCCTCAATGATCTGGTCCCCACCTCACTCCCCAGCTTTATTTTATGCCATTTTTTTTGGCTATATTCTCTTAGCTTTTAACCCTGAATCATTACAATTTTCCTCCAAATCTCATGTCCTTTCATATCTCTATGACTTTATTCAAGTTTTCCCCTCCTCACAGTTCTTTACTTGGCAAACTCTTACTTATTCTTCAAGGTTCAACTCAGGCTGGCATCTTTAGAAAGGTTTTTCTGAACTACAGTCTACATGTTTCCATTTCCACAGTTCTCTACCCTTAACTTCTCCTCTACACTGTCCCAATTATATTGATGGTTAGTTTTCTTAATTGTCTGTCTCTCCTGCAAATAGGTCTTCAAGCCATGCTTGGCACATTGTAGTTGCTCAGTAAGGTTTGTTAAGTTGATAGGCAGACCAGTTACTATTTTGCTTTTGAGATGCATGTCACCTTCTGGTGGTTAAAGTAGAAGCTGGATGTTTGTTATTCACAGCTCTTAACTTTAAAAAAAATTTTTTTTTAGTTTGCATAGGGTACATGCTTTTGTTTGGGGTGGGAAGAGAGAAAATCCCCCAGGAGGGATGACCACACCACAATTCCTTCTCCTCCATTATCCTGTCAGGATTTTGGGCATGCATGTACATGTACGTGACTGTTGTGTTTCTCAAGTCGCTGGATCTGGGACTCAAAATTGTGCTGTTGGCTATATGAGATCCATTTACCTTCAGCACCATGTCACTGGCTGGCTCCCTATAGCTCTTAACTATTTATAACAAACTGAGACTAAGATTTATGGATTTTAGAACAGGACAATCTAATCTATCCTTTTGTCAATTTTAATTTTAAGATCATAAAAGAAACCCAGAGAAGGAAAGTAATTTTATTGAAATCACATAGCTAGTGAATAAAATGGCAAGAAATTTTAACCCACATCTCCTGACTTCCTGACCAAAAAACTTTCCACTGCTCTGTCCAATGAAATCTGATCTATTCCCTCCTCTCTTACTCCTACCTCAGTCAGCTTTTGGGGAAGACAGAAGAGGTCTGACTGTGAAATTCTGCATACCAACACAGAGGTGACCTGTCCTGGGCATGGCAACCTTCAACTACACTGGTACCAGCCACTCACTCTTTATTCTGCTGGGCATCCCTGGCCTGGAAGACCAGCACACATGGATCTCTCTTCCCTTCTTTGTTTCCTACCTTGTTGCCTTCCTTGGAAATAGTCTCCTCATCTTTGTCATCATCACTGAACGCAGCCTCCATGAACCCATGTACCTCTTTGTCTGCATGCTGGCTATGGCTGACCTCATCCTGTCCACTACCACTGTGCCCAAGGCTCTGGCCATATTCTGGTTTCATGCTGGAGCAATCTCCCTTGATGGCTGCGTCACCCAGATCTTCTTCATCCATGCCACTTTCATCGCTGAGTCAGGAATTCTGTTGGCAATGGCATTTGACCGCTATGTGGCCATCTGTAATCCTCTGCACTATAGCACAGTTCTCAGTCATGCAGTAATCCTAAGGATAGGCGTGGCTGTGGTCCTGAGGAGCTTCTGTGTGATACTCCCTGATGTGTTTCTGGTGAAGCGACTACCTTTTTGCCATAGCAATCTGCTGCCACACACCTTCTGTGAGCACATGGCTGTGGCCAAGTTTGCTTGTGCTGATGTTCGTGTCAATGTTTGGTATGGGTTATCTGTTCTTCTCTCTACAGTAGTGCTCGATGCCTTGTTCATTTTAGTTTCCTACAGCCTCATTCTCTATGCAGTCTTCCACCTCCGCTCCCGAGGAGCTCGACAAAAGGCTTTGGGTACATGTGGCTCCCACCTTGGGGTCATTTCCATGTTCTACTTGCCTGGCATTTTTACCATAATTACCCAGAGATTTGGGCATCATGTGCCTCTCCATACTCACATTTTACTGGCCAATGTCTGCATTTTGGCCCCTCCCATGTTGAATCCTATTATTTATGGAATTAAGACCAAGCAGATTCGAGAGCGAGTGCTCAGTGCTTTGTCTTCACAGTGGAAATAATGATGAGTCTGACCAGTCAGGTGGTATGTTTACCAATATAGGGCTTCCACTTTTTTGGATTTTTCAAAATTTATTTTTATACATGATAAAGTACATGTATGTGTGTGTGCAAGAGAGAGAGAGAGAGAGAGAGAGAGAAATGTCATTCTAAATGGGGCCTGATCATACTGTAATCATTTTTCTTCCAATTCTCTATTCCATCAGGAGCCTAAAGCACATGGGCACTTGCCCAGCTTGAGAGGGCTGGGAATTGAATCCCAGTTGACCATGTGGGATCTGGCTTCCTCTGTACAGTGCCCAAACCACTGCCTTGGGCTTGGCCCGAAGCTTCCATTTTCCCCCCTATATTGTACAGACATAAATTAAGAATTCCATGGACTGTGAACAAAGTGACCTATCATTACTTTGCAAGTCAGATTGCCATGTGACCTTGAGAATAGTCTTAGAAAAGAGTATAAGGGGACTGGCAGGTAGCAAGGTGGTGAAAGTGCTGGACTCCTATGTGGCTGATTGCGGTTTGAGTCCTGGACCTGGCTGCTTGCTTTCTCACTTTCTCTCCTCTTTGTGTCTCTCTCTGGTGAACACACATGCCCTATAGCAAATTAAAACAATAATAATAATAAATAAAATTAAACAAATAGTTGTTAAGGGAGGAAAAAAGGAAAAGAGCATAAACATTAGGTTTGAATCTTGGCCTCATTGATAATGATGTTTGACCTTGGGCAATTACTTATTCTCTTGGAGATTCTTCTTAGCACATGCTTAGGGTACCAGAAAAAGAGTGATATCAAAACCAAGGTAATCAAATTAAAACAATAAAACTTAATCTACAATAAACTCACCCAGGGCATTGCATTTAAAATACTTAGACCCCGCATTAATATAATCATATAAATACATTTGATGTAATTTATTTTTATTTTATTTATTTATTTTGGAGAGGTTTTTGCTATAGGGCGTGTGCGCTCGCCAGACAGACAGAGAGAGAGACATAGAGACAGAAAGTGAGAACCCCCAAGAAGGGATGGTCACGCCGCAATCCCTTCTCCTCCATTCTCCTCTCGGGATCTCGGGCATGCACGCACACGCGCCCAGCGTGAGTTTTAACCCCCCGGGTCTGGGACGTGAACCGCGGTCGACTATGTGGGAGTCCAGCGACACAGCCATTACGCTAACTGCTGGTTCCCAGGACTGATGCCTTTTAAAAATACATTTTTTTTCATGGCTATTGCCTAAGTGGGGAAAGTATATTGTGCATTTGATACCTCTTAGCTCAAAATATAAATACCTATACCAAAAAAATACATTTTTTTTGAGTTACATATGGGGAGACACCATAATTAAAAGCTTGTTTTTAAAGTTTTTTCCCCCCTTCATTGGTCACGTGCATTTTCCAGAGAGATAGAGACAGTGAGAGGGAAAGTGAGAAATCACCCCTTGGGGGGATGACCACTGTGCAATCTCCTCTCCTTCATTCTTCTCTCAGGATTTTGGGCATGCATGCGCACATGCCCAGTGTGACTTTCAATAAAAAATGTTGTGACTATGTCCTGATTATATTTTCATCTCAGGACTGTGGTAGAATTAAGTAAAAAAAAAATTAGCAGAATTTTGAATATATATATGACATATATTAAGCAACAGGTATGTCTTAAATCTTTTCTTCCCCTCATGTTTTACTTTCTTTATCTTTAAAATTCTGGTATAGCAATTTCTGTCTGCCTCTCTTAGTTCCAAAGAAACTTGTTGAATCAAAGGAGTTCAGGAATGTCAGCAGTCTTTACGGAAATTTTAAAGGATAATATTAAAACAAAACTAAAATTAGTGCTGGTTGAGTCTCCCTTCATTTTATGTGACAAGTAGGGGTGTGCCCGGATCATTTGTTAATGATGAGGATAAAAGCTGAGATACTATGAAATCTCTACTACTTGATCTTTTTGCTGGAGACCAAGGGGAGTGTGCCATCTGCATGATGCATATCTCACAGGTAACCTGATATGGCAAGGTATTCAAAATTTTAGAAATAAAATTATTGGGACCAGCAGATGATTTAATGGTTATGTCACCAGATCACCATATAGCAGACAGCCGTTTGAGTCCCGGACTTGGTGACTTAAAACCCATGCTGGACGTGTGTGTGTGTGTCCGTGCCCAAGATCCTGAGAGAAGAATGGAAGAGAAGGGATTGTGGCTTGGTCATCTCCCATGGGGGGTGATTTCTCACTTTCTGTCTCTCTGTCTCTCTGTCTATCCAGCAAATGCATGCACCCTATAGCAAAAGAAACCTCTCTCTCAAAAAAAAAAAAAATCAAAAAAAAAAAATTCAAAACAAAAAACCCCCAAAAAACAAAAAAACACACACAAAAAACAAAAAATAAACAAACAAAAAACTCAAGAAATTACTTAAGTTTACATCGCTTTGAGTTTCCTGCCAACAGCATATAAACTAAAGAGAGCAAATCACTGTTAGCATTGGTTAACACCAAGGCAGAAATGGAGAGAAGCAGAAAACCTGATTTTATAATCTACCCTGATTTTTGTTTTTTATGTTTCACCAGGAGTTTGGAATGTATAAGTCAACCATTCCCCAGTACACCCCCATTTGCACTTCTATATTCTATGTTCATCTTCCAGTTTATCAATCAGGGCACTGCTTGAATGTGACAATTTATCTTGATTTAACTCTGTAATGTTGTCATCTTACCTGAGGATTCATGACCTAGGTCCTTCTTTTTATCTTTCTAAAATAGGACTTCTTTCTGTGCTGTGTTAAGATAGACACAACTCTTTTTTTTTTTTTTTTTGAATCAATAAATTGTTTTCAAAGTCTCTGACTTCCTTGTATAGTATCTAAGTTTTCATGAAATGATTAGCCGATGTGCTATGGACAATCTGTGATTCTGTTTTGATTTTGTTGTTAAGAATTAAGATTCAGGGTTGGCCCGTATGGCACAGTAGTTGAAGGTTACACAAAGGAAGCCAGATCCCACTTGGTCAACCAGAGTGTGAGTACTGGCTCCAGAAACTTGAAAAACATATTGGGCTGTTTTTGTGCCCAGGCTCCTGATAGGATGGAGAATTGGAGGAAAAAAAGATTGCAATGAGGCCCTACTGGAGGATTCTCTCTCTCCCCTCTGTGTGTATATGTACTCTAAGATTAAAAAAAAAAAGATGATTATTTTACTGGAATTATATATGCATAATTTATATGAAAACAGAGTTCAATCTAATGGACTGAATGATTCGAAGGCTTTGGGTTCTGGCCTTGATCCTCATGTATATCTTTGTGATACTAGGTGACATATAAACCATGAGATTCTATTTTAGAAAATGAATCAGGGATCACACAAAGCTAGGCTCACACTCAATAGTGATTCAGGTGTAGTGCTTCATTGTTATAATCAATTTTTTTGAGAGTTTTTTTGCTATAGAGTGCATGCACTTGCCAGAAAGACAGAGAAAGACAGAGAGGCAGAAAGCAAGAAGTCACCCCCCCAGGGGGGTTGGCCATGCCACAATCCCCCATGCCACAATCCCTGTTCCTCCATTCTCCTCTTGGGAATTTAGGCATGCACACACACATGCCTGAAGTAAGTTTAAGCCACCGGGACTGGGACTTGAACCGCGGTTGACAAGATGCGAGTCCAGTGACATAGCCATTATGCTGCTTGTCCCTAAATCTTAAAATTTAACTAAAAAAGTGTGTGTTGTCACCAAGTGATGTTATTACTTCAGTCAGACCTTCATATCAATCAGGAGTCAACTGAAGAAGCAGAAACAATAGTAGGTATATATTAAGAAACTTAGCATAGATAGTGTAATAGTTACATCGCTGGATTCTCACATGGCTGACTGCAGTTTGAGTCCTGGACCCAGTGGCTTGAAACTCATGCTGGGCACATGTGTGTGTGTGTGTGCCCAAGAACCTCGGAGGAGGATGAAGAGAAGGGATTGTGACATGGCTATCCCCCTGAGGGGTGATTTCTCACTTTCCCTCTCACTATCACTGTCTCTCTTTCTCTCTCTGGTGAGCACATAAATCCTAAGGCAAAAATCTCTACCAAAAAAAAAAAAAAAAGAAGCTTATTACAAGAAATTAATTTACATGATTGTGAGGGGTGGCAAGGTAAGTCCTATATTCATAGGACAGGCAGTTACAAAGGGCAGGCCGGAATGTTTGGCTACCAGCTAAAGCTTTCAGATTACATAAGATACTATCCTTTACTTAAAGTTGAATAATTATGGATTTTTCACATCTACAGAATACCTTCCCACCAATATTTAGACGAGTTTGATAACTGGGGGTCTATATTCTAACCAAGTTGATACATTAAAAGATCATTTTATCTCCCATTTAGATTGATAAGCCTACAACCACTGAAATAATTCATTTGGAAGAATTGATCATTTGCTTTCTCTTTTAAAAATTTATAAAGCATGAAAACAGGTATATAAATATGGAATTTTATAATTAAGACAGTCACTTTTAGATGTAGAAAATAAGTGGTCCTTTTCTTAAATTGCAGATAATTACTTTTATTTTATTGTTGTTAGATTAAATAAAATATGCATAAAGTGCCTCTTGCATGACTTGATATTATCGGATTTATGGTTTGTGAATATTTCCTTCCATTCTGTAAGTTGCCTTTTCATTTAGTTGATTGTTTCCATTGCTGTGCAGAAGTTTCTGATTTGATGTAATACTCTTTAATTTTTGCTTTTGCCGCTTGTGCTTTTGGCATTATATCAAAAACATCATTGTCAATATCAGTATCAAGGAGCTTTTTGCAATGTTTTCTACTAGGTGTTTCATGGTTTCAGGTCTTATGTTTAAGTCTTTTTATTTTTTAAGGTTTTGCCATAGGGGACATGTACTTGCCAGAGAGAGAAAAAACAGAGACAGAGAGTGATAGGGAAAGAAAGAGAGAAATCATCTCCTGGGGCAATAGCCATGCTGCAATCTCTCCATTTCTCTCTTGGAATTTTGGACACACACACACACACACACACACACACACACACGTACCTGGTGGGCTTTCTAAGACATCAGGTCTGGGATTTGAACTTCAGAGTCTTCCATGTGGTATCCAGCACCTTAACTGCCACAACTCCTGCTGATCCTCTTACATTTAAGTCTTTTACCCAGTTCCCCTCACCCCCACATAGGGCATGTGCACTTGCCAGAGAGAGAAAAAGTGAGGGAACTCCTGACCCCCATGGGGGATGGCCATGCTATCTGCAATCCATTCCCCTCTAATCTCTTGGGATTTTGGACATGCATGTACACTTGCCCAGTGTGATTTTTCAAGCCACCTAAATAATCTTCTAAATTCAGATGAGTCTACAACAAAGAACTGAAAATCATGATAATTGGAAATATCAGCTTTCCACCCATTTATATATTTAGCAAATAAATCTTGCAAAATTAAGGTAGTTGCAAACATTTATAAACTCCCTTTCCCTCTGTTTCTAGAACCATATCACTGTGTCTTCTTTGGAAAGACTAAGAGGACGACTTTTTCTTTACCTCTCCACAAAGTTGGTGATTATGATGTCACAGGTAGAAGATATGTTGAATAAAAACACATGGGTGAAGAGGAGATGTAAGGCTCAAGTAACCAGTATGGTCTTCTGTAGGCTTTGATTAAAATAAAGTCACTTCAACGTTTTCTCTCAAATGAAAACTCATTTTAAAGAATGAGACCAAAACAATTATACTCTTTGATATGTATTACCCAAAATGTACATATAGAACACATACACACACACACACACACACACACAAACACACAAATATTCAGCAAAAGATACACAATAGCCATATTCATTGCATTTAGGATATATGTGGAATCACAACTATCGGGTTATGTTTCTTCTGTGGGAATGCATTTTGTAAGATCTCAAAGAAGCTCTGAATGCCAATATTCGCTATGACCTTGAAGGTGGTATAATAGCCAATTCTATATTTTATAACATTTATATTTTAATACATATATATTTATGAAACAAATATTACTTATATTTTCGATTGTCAATAACAATAGAAAAAACTGTAGTATAATTAACAACAAAATCTGAAATAGCAATGAGAATGAATGAATTACGATGACAAGAAATAATAAGAATAAATCTTAAATGAATACTGTTGAGCTATGAACATTATGAAGCTTAATTGAAGTCAAGCATAAAAGAATAGAAATTGGGGCTAGCAAATGGTGTAGCGGTTATGTCATTGGACTCCCACATGATAGACCACGGTTTGAGTCCTAGACTTGGTGGCTTGAAAATCATGCCAGCTGCGTGCTCAGTATCCTAGGAGGAGAACAGAGAAGGGATTGTGGCATGGCCATCCCCCTTGAAGGGGATTTCTCACTTTCCCTTTCACTGTCTCTGTCTCTCTCTCTGGTAAGTGCACACACCCTATAACAGAAGGAAAAAACCTCTAAAAAAATAGGAACTGTTTAATTCCATTTACATAGGATTCAAAATACCAAAATAAATTTGTGCTGTAAATGTGACGATAGTGATTATCCTTGCAGGTTTTGACAAAATGGGAGCTCATTTGAATCTTTTGGGGTACTGGTAATTGTTCTGGTTCTGAATATGGATCGTACCTCAAGTGTATATTCAGTTTTTAACAAAAAGAATCTGTACATTATGAACTTTTTGGAATGCATATTTATGTTAATAAAAAAATCAAAAGAGCCAAACATATAAAAGGACTTCAAAAAGTTTGTGGAAAATGGTATTAAAGTATGAATTTATTTTGTTGGGGAAAAATGCATAAACAGGTTTTTTCACTGTGCATTTCCATGAACTTTTTGAAGACCCCTGATATTCTAGGTATCAAGAAAACCAGTATGGCACTCTGGGGGCTCCCTCTTGGAATTCCCAATTCCTCTTGAATTTCCAAAGAAACTTGAGCTCTTTCCGAGTGCAAAAGCAAGGAGGAAGGGAACAATCACTATACCTTGTAAACACAATAGCAAATGCCTTTTTGGGTCAGTTTTTTGTATCAGTCACTTCTAGAGACATAGGAAGTATGATACTCTCCTATCAACAATCCAGGTGAAATTTTCAGCTGCATTCGCAGTACACATGCTAACCAACTATTTCCTGAGAACCTGCTGTGTCTCTGGCACTGTGCTAAGTACAGGGAATGCCCATCAAGCTCGAGCGCCACACCCTTCTCTGAGGTTATCACAGAACTTAGGTTTCCTTCTATTCATAAAATGGAAGTAGCTCCTCATGTGGCTGCTGTTGCCTTGTGTTGGGGATGTTTCTACAAAGAATCCTGGAGAAGGTTGTGGGCCCTTCACCTTCAGGGCCTGGCACAGAGCATGTACTGAACACTTTCCTCTTTTAGACACTTCCCAAGGCTGAGAAAGAATGTGGCCACATTCTGAATCTTTAATAGTATCTAAAATGCTCTTTAATCAATTCTATTGTGATCAGGATGTGGTTGGGGAAAGTCTTAGCCATGATCCATGGGCTTTAGAAACTGGCAGGGTGAAAATTTCATCTACAATGAAGCACTCAGTGTAGCAATGCTGCAGTGATTCCCACTTGCCCTGGCAGCCTCTGACTCCCTCCAGCCCCTTCTACACCTTAACCCTCCCCTCCAGCATCCCTCACCAAAATTAACAATTCCCACAGGTGACCCAGGAAGACCAGTTTCACAGGCTTCCAGCTCTGACTTTCCCCCCTTGGGGAGTAGGGGACTTGACAGCCACCAGAGATCTGGGTCAAATGGGAGGCCAAGAACAAGGTGGGTTGAGAACAAAGAGTGTGTGTACCTTTGAGTGGGGTGATCAGCTCATCCAGGTCTGAGGGGTCTGAATCTAGATGGAAGGAAAGGGGTAAGAACTGGAGAAATAATTTCTTCTATTAGAGAGAATCGAGGGAAGAAGTGAAACAATGAGGGCTACCTGGGTTTGAGAAAAGGCAAGAGAGAGAAGTCACCACAATCTACTTATGAATACACTCTAGATCAAGTCCCATTCCTTACTTCTGAATCTAGAGACCACCCCTCACCCTTCTGGATCTGTGAGATCAGAAGCTGCCAGATGCCTGGGCCCTTCTCTTCCTAGGGACACAGCATTTAGCCCTGGTACAATGCCTGCTCTTCTCTCCATCTTCTAATCCCAAGACCCCTGGTTCTGAAGACAGGTCTGAGCTGCAGATGTTTGAGAGGGCTTGTTAGAGGGACTTAGATGGTATGATTCTTTTGTTTGGATTTCTTTTCTTACCCTTTCATACTGTTTTCCACTACCAAACCACTCACACAGGAGATGCAGTACTGGGAGCAGGAGTTTGAAAGGAGGTAGCCTGGTCACACAGATGAGAAGTGATGAAACCTACATTTCACTATCTGTCTTTGCTGCTGTGTTCTACAGTCTCCCCTACCTTGGCTGACAGGATACTTCATCTTCTGCAGTGGGAATTTCTGGAAGATAAACTGGGTTCTTTTTTCCTAGCTCTTAATGGCTTTTCCTGCTAATATGGAACATATGCTCATGGTCACACATATCTCCAGAATCAAAACCCCTTTCTCATAATTGGGGATGTGGTTACCTCCACTTGATACACACCCTCTATCTGCTAGCCGTTAGTGTAGACTACATTTACTCTTTTGGAAAAGTCAGAACAATTTGTCCAAGAAGGAAGCCTTTCAGAAAAGAATGATGTTAAAATTAGATGTCCCAAGCAGAGTGTTTGTTCTGAAAGCCAGAAAAACCCCGCCCTGACCTACCTTGGACAGTGAGTCCAAGCACTTTGATGACGGCATGGGTCAACCTACTAAGAACATGGATAGACAGCATCTGAGGTCAGTGAGGGTCAGAGATGTAGGGGTCCAGAGAGATTTGTCTTTCAACATCCTCAGGAGTGGTGATCAGACCTCATATGATGATCAACACAGTGGCCATGATGGGAAGTTACAGAACAGACACTTAATCTGGACCTGGTAGTCCAAGACCGAATATTCCAGATGTGGAAGAGGGGAGGACAGAGAAGGCAGGAACAACATGTGTGATGATAAAGACATAACAATATTATTCACATTCAAAATTGTCAAGTGTTTGGCACCAGCAGTAAGTGTAATGGCTATGTTGCTGGACTCCCACCTAGTCGACTGCGGTTCACGTCCTGGATCCAGTGGCTTAAAACTCACGCCGGATGCGTGTGGGTGAATGCCCAAGATCCCAGGAGGAGAATGGAGGAGAAGAGATTGTGGCATGGTCATCCCCCCAGGGGGTGATTTCTCGCTGTCTCTCTGGCAAGCGCATGTGCCCTATAGCAAAAACCTCTAAAAAAACAATTGTCAAGTGTTTCAGGTTTTAGGAACAAAGGACTGTATGGGATAGATTGAGGGAGAATTTCTTTAGGAAGCCCTTTTGCAAACCATACAACCCATGCAAGACATAACAGAGATCTAAACAAAGGCAACAACCTAGAGATGAAGAGAAAACAAACTTAAGTCACATGTAGAAGGCAGAAACTTGTTTTTGGCTGATCCAGACACATTTGGGCCAAAAAGAAGTCTGTTTCATAGAAAGGAATCCTAAAGCAATCTGTAGAAAAAATGATCCTGAATGTCACTTGACGATGACTTTCTGTGACCTTTCTGCTAAAGCCTGGTTACTCGGACACTGAGACAAAAGAGGTTCAGAGTTCATGGGAAAAAGAGCAGCGTCCGTGGGTTACCAACTGGGAGAGATGGCGATGTCCAGAGAGAGCTATCAAGTCAGTGGATCCTACTATCCCATCTTCAGTGGACAGAGGGTCAGAGGGGCTGAATTTCCTCCTTCATCATTGAAACCAGGATTGAAGAAGGGCCGCAAAGGTCCAGTGAAGGCACATTCAGAGAAGGTATAGATGTGGGACCAATGGTCAGTGATATTATAGAAGGAAACGGTGCCAGCCTCATAGTCCAAGAAAATTCCAACTTGGCATGGAGGCACCTGAAGGTGGAGAGGGGTCTGAGGGTTGGTGCCAGCCTCATAATTTTTTTTATTCCACAGCCAAATTGTCCAGAAGCCACTCTCGGGGCTCAGTAAAAACTGCCCCTTTCTCTGCACAGAATCTCTACAAACACCGAGGTCCCAGGCTTCTTTTTCTGTCACATCCACCTCCCAGTAAAACTTTCCAGAGCTGAAGTGCTGGGCACCCAGGACCATGGGATAGCTATCAAATCTCTCTTCATTTTCAGGCACCTTCTGCCGGCTGTCTGCAAGCCTGACTTGTCTCCGATCCTGTGAAAGGAGGAGCCAAGGATTGGCTGTGTCTGGATCCAGAGTGATGTGCACTGCAGAGAGAGGACAATGGTGAAACCTTGCATGGGTGGAGTCCGTAAGCCTGTGCATGTGGTGGGGCATTCATGTACACTCCGGGGTGAGGATGAAGGATGACCTGAACCCCACTGTGTAAGGACATGACTGCTCTTGCCCTGACCTTTGAGGAAACAGCCTTCCCTGTCTCTATCTCTGTCCCATTGATTCCAGCTCACCATTTCTCCTCCCTGCTGCTGCATTTTCTCCCCTTTGCACCCTCATTATCCCCTCTGCTCCAGTCCCAGAATGCCCAGGGCATGCCTCACCTCCACATGTCCTCAGCCTCTTTTTCAGGCCTGGCGCACGGCACACATTCCTCAGGTCTGGGGTGGTGATGTCCAGCTCCTTCAGGTTCCAGGACTCACTCCTGCGGGGGGAAGAGAGTTTGAGACCCTCATCTCCCATTTCTATCTTCTACCCCAAACCGTAACACTGTGACCTTTTAACGGAGGGCTCTGATAATTTTATTTGACACAATTTACAGACACCTCTTGTGTTCAGGTCTCTAGGGGTAAGGCAAAAAATGGAAGATTTAGTTCCTCTCTGGGAGTTCCTGGATCATGAGTCTCTGTAGCATGTGGACTGCCAGTATCTCCTCACCAAGCCTGAGGTCAAAAGGCAAAGCATGTGATACAGACTGAATCATTCCTGTGGAACCTCAAGGAGTCTCACCCATGCTGTGGGCCTATGCCTCTTTCTGGGAGGTTTGGTACTGGCTAAATTCCATTTACCAAAGGAGACTCAGCAGGCTGAGGACTCAGAACTTCCCAGAATTTGTTGGGGCTTTACCGTGTGAAGATGTCATTAGTCCGATTACTTTGGGCAATTCAAGAACCAAGATGTTTATTTATTTAGCTAAGACCAGAAAAAAAAAATCTTTCTTTCTTTAATTGATATATAATAATTATACTTATTTATGAGATATAATGTTATATTTCAGTACAAGAATACAAAGTACAATGATTAAATCAGAGTAATTAGTATACCTATCATCTCAATGACTTGCCATTACTTTGTGTTGGGAACAGTCAAATCTTTTTTTGTAGAGATTTTTGCTATAGGGTACATGTGCTCACTGGAGAAACAGAGAGAGACAGAGAGACAAAAAGCAAGAAATCACACTCCAGGGGCAATGATCACACCATAATCCCCTCTATATTCTTTTTTCAGAATTTTGGGCACATATGCACATGTGCCTGGCATGAATTTCAAGCTTCTGGGCCTGGGACTTGAACTGAGGTTCACCATGTGGGATTCCAGTGCCTTAACTTAACCATCACAACTTTTATTCCACAGCCAAATTGTCCAGAAGCCACTCTCGGGGCTCAGTAAAAACTGCCCCTTTCTCTGCACAGAATCTCTACAAACACCGAGGTCCCAGGCTTCTTTTTCTGTCACATCCACCTCCCAGTAAAACTTTCCAGAGCTGAAGTGCTGGGCACCCAGGACCATGGGATAGCTATCAAATCTCTCTTCATTTTCAGGCACCTTCTGCCGGCTGTCTGCAAGCCTGACTTGTCTCCGATCCTGTGAAAGGAGGAGCCAAGGATTGGCTGTGTCTGGATCCAGAGTGATGTGCACTGCAGAGAGAGGACAATGGTGAAACCTTGCATGGGTGGAGTCCGTAAGCCTGTGCATGTGGTGGGGCATTCATGTACACTCCGGGGTGAGGATGAAGGATGACCTGAACCCCACTGTGTAAGGACATGACTGCTCTTGCCCTGACCTTTGAGGAAACAGCCTTCCCTGTCTCTATCTCTGTCCCATTGATTCCAGCTCACCATTTCTCCTCCCTGCTGCTGCATTTTCTCCCCTTTGCACCCTCATTATCCCCTCTGCTCCAGTCCCAGAATGCCCAGGGCATGCCTCACCTCCACATGTCCTCAGCCTCTTTTTCAGGCCTGGCGCACGGCACACATTCCTCAGGTCTGGGGTGGTGATGTCCAGCTCCTTCAGGTTCCAGGACTCACTCCTGCGGGGGGAAGAGAGTTTGAGACCCTCATCTCCCATTTCTATCTTCTACCCCAAACCGTAACACTGTGACCTTTTAACGGAGGGCTCTGATAATTTTATTTGACACAATTTACAGACACCTCTTGTGTTCAGGTCTCTAGGGGTAAGGCAAAAAATGGAAGATTTAGTTCCTCTCTGGGAGTTCCTGGATCATGAGTCTCTGTAGCATGTGGACTGCCAGTATCTCCTCACCAAGCCTGAGGTCAAAAGGCAAAGCATGTGATACAGACTGAATCATTCCTGTGGAACCTCAAGGAGTCTCACCCATGCTGTGGGCCTATGCCTCTTTCTGGGAGGTTTGGTACTGGCTAAATTCCATTTACCAAAGGAGACTCAGCAGGCTGAGGACTCAGAACTTCCTATGCCTCTTTCTGGGAGGTTTGGTACTGGTTAAATTCAGGCTGAGGACTCAGAACTCCCCAGAATTTGTTGGGGCTTTACCGTGTGAAGATGTCATTAGTCTGATTACTTTGGGCAATTCAAGAACCAAGATGTTTATTTATTTAGCTAAGACCAGAAAAAAAAAATCTTTCTTTCTTTAATTGATATATAATAATTATACTTATTTATGAGATATAATGTTATATTTCAGTACAAGAATACAAAGTACAATGATTAAATCAGAGTAATTAGTATACCTATCATCTCAATGACTTGCCATTACTTTGTGTTGGGAACAGTCAAATCTTTTTTTGTAGAGATTTTTGCTATAGGGTACATGTGCTCACTGGAGAAACAGAGAGAGACAGAGAGACAAAAAGCAAGAAATCACACTCCAGGGGCAATGATCACACCATAATCCCCTCTATATTCTTTTTTCAGAATTTTGGGCACATATGCACATGTGCCTGGCATGAATTTCAAGCTTCTGGGCCTGGGACTCGAACTGGGGTTCACCATGTGGGATTCTAGTGCCTTAACTTAACTATCACAGCATTTACTGGCCCCTATTAAAATTTTCATTTACTCTGAAATACACAGCAAATTGTTGTTCATTATATTACAAACAAATACTGGAGAAAATAACATCTTTTTAATAGTGTTGGGAAAACTGGACATCTATATACAGAAGAATTAAACTAGACCTGTGTATCTCTCACCATATATAAAAATCAACTCAAAATGTATTAAAGACTTAAACATAAAATGTGAAACAGAAAATATTATATGGAGTATTAGGGCTTTGAGAATAGGCAGGCAGATGGGAAAAACTTCAGTGCACATTTTTCTAGCTCAAAAATTCCTTGCATAGGTATATATTATTATCCCACCCCCTAAAAATAGAATCTCCCCTTACCTTTCCAGGACAATTTCCACCTCCTAGGGAGAAAAGACAGAGAGTGAGAAATTGATTACCTGCGGGTATGTGTTATCACTTTTGGGCTCTGAGTCCTGATCTGCTCTACTCCTCTAGGTCAAGGCTCAAAAGATGCAAAAAAAAAAAAAAAGATGATTTCCTGAGCAGAAAGGATGTGTGGATGCTGGTGCAGTAACCAGAACTCCAGTGAACTCTCCCCCCCCCAAAAAAAAAAAAAAGATGATTTCCTGAGCAGAAAGGATGTGTGGATGCTGGTGCAGTAACCAGAAATCCAGTGTGGTTGTGTGTGTGTGTGTGTGTGATCTATAGCTAGAGAAGAGTCATCCGTTGAAGAATCTGACTCAGAAAACAAAGGAAAAAGACCAGATTCCCACGGAGAGGGTAAGGAAGGGAGAAGGGTAGAAAAGGGAAAATATCCCAGACTCGCTGAAGTCCAGAGACAGTCAACGGGAGAAAATGGCCAAATTAGGATGCCCAGAACCTATTCTGTGTGATAAAATATTAATTCTATCTGTTTAACACAAGAAACTGATTCTCAGATGAAGGAATGTTTTCAAGGCTGTGCATCTGGAAGGTGTTAGAGTAGGCACTTATCAGAAATGTCCATTTCTGTTAACTGCTGAATGCAATACCCCTTCCTAGATTTGTACCTTCCTGTGAGTTAAATGCAAACCACTCATGAGTCCAAATTCTAGTTGAAGAATATTGCAGGTACCAGGCTTCCTTGGCTCTAATGGTAACTCCAGAAATCTCTGGATCCTTGTGTCTCAGAGGGAAGCCTCTGTTCTCATCTCACCTGCAGCATCTCCAGGGCTGAGGCCCGACTTCTACGCTCCACCTCTGAGATTAGCTCCTGCAGGGCCTGACTCTGCTGGACCAGCTCCGCCTCCATTTCTCCCAGGATTCTCAGCTGTTCCTTTTCATTCTCATCTAGCTTCTGCAGCTGCCTCTGTTCCTCTTCATCCAGGAAGTTTTTCTGCTGTACAAACTCTGCATGAATCCTCAGTTTGTGTGTCTCAACCTCTCTCTGTGGTGTCAAGAGAAAAGGAAGGTGATTTATTTATTTATTTATTTATTTATTTATTTTATTTTATTTTATTTTTTTA